AGAATAGAATAGAATAGAAGAATACAATACAATAGAAAATATGGAATGGAATAGAATAGCAAAGCATAGAACAGAACAGAATTCTTTGTTGGCCAGATGTGACTGGACACACAAGGAAGACAAGCTTTCTCCTCTTGAGTTTTTAATGAATTTTGAAATGTGGCTTTCGGTTGCTCTTGCAGCCATTTCATGAGATCTTCCTCTTTTCGGTCTAGCAAGGGAGGTTTTAAAGGCTGCAGGATCTGTTTTATCTGACGGCCCCTCACACACTCTGGGATTTGGACAAGACCGATTCAGGTCCTGCCACCTACGCTCTCGGTCTGTGGTCAGTTTCCCTCACGGCATAACTGGTTTCTAATGACATTTGCAAGGGGGGGTGAGGGTGTGGGGGTATTGCCAAACATATTTTTGTGTCAAGTTCAGCTGAAATCTGATAGTTCTGCCTGACTTCAGGAGACAGAATTTTATCTCTTTATTATCCCCTGGTAATTCACGTTTTCAGCTAGAGTATTAGCTATGGGGTCAGTAGTGACCTGGGAAAATCCAGGGTTATGGGTAGAGGTTCCTAAAGCCTATTTTTAAATTTGAAATAACTTCTTTAAAATTCTCACTATTCACTATCTCACAATATCCTTTGAAAAGAAATCCTTTTTAAAAAATTTGTTATTGGTTTTTAAAAACTAACATAAACAAGCAAAACATAAAAACATCAAGCTATCTTCCATATATATACATACAGTATGCCGGTTGGTTTACAAATTGCTTTGTGCTTCCATTTCGTAGTCTTCAATTAAATTACATTACACATAATCTCATATTGTCAATCAAAAATTAAATACCTTAGTATCATTATTAATCAGTCATTTGACTATACTTTTATTCATTCATGTTTTACAAGATAACCATAATTTACTTAATTTATTTTATAACAGTTCATATTATCATCCCAAATCTATCCTAAAATCATTTTATAGTTATAATAAGAAAGAAGTACATCTTTATATATTTATTATTTTCTAAAAATCTACATGTTTCATTACTGTACTTTATTGTCTAACCATTGATAGAAAAGATCCCAAATTTTATAAAATTGTTTATCCTCTTGTTCTCTAATTTCAAATGTCAATCTACTCATTTCAGCACATTCCAATATTTTCTTAATGATTTCCTCCTGGGATGGTATTTTCTCATTTTTCCAGTTTTTAGCAAATACAATCCTAGCCACTGTTAATACATTTACAATCAGGTATTTCAAGTCTGTGCTATATATTTCAGGTAAAATTCCCAATAAAAATATCTCTGGTTTCAAGTCTATATGCTTTTTTGTCATTTTTTCCAACCACATGTGGATTTTAGTCCAATTTTTTTAGCATTCACACAAGTCCACCACATATGGTAATATGAGCCAGGTGTCTGATGACATTTCCAACATTTTTCAGATTTATTCTTGAACATTCTTGCTTTTCTTGTCAGGGGGAAATGCCACCTGTAAAACATCTTAGACAAATTTTCTTTATATGCTGTTGACATTGTCATTTTATAATTTTGAGACCACAATTTTTGCCATTTCTCTAAATCAATCCCATATCCAAAATTCTTCCCCCAAGCAATCATTGTTTCTTTAACTTGTTCTTCTTCTAGTTTAATTTCTAATAGATATCCATACAATTTTTAAATCACCTTTTCATGTCAAAATCTTATCTAAATCAGTCAGTTTATCATAGAAACCTTCTGTTTTAGAATCTTTGTCATACCTTGAATGTATTTGCGCATATGAAAACCAATTCATCTTTATACCTTGTTCCTCTAGTTTTTGCATAGATTTAAGTTCACCCTTTTCATTCAGTATTTCACCATATCTAACTGTTCGTTCCTTTTTGTATATTATAGGATACGAGAATGCTTCAATAGTTGATAACCAGACTGGAATTTTCAAATAACATTGTCTTTTAATCTTCTCCCAGTTTAACCACAGAGACTCCCGTATATAATGTCTTCTAAAATACCCCTGTGTTTTAGTTCCTTTGTACCATAAAAAAGTATGCCACTCAAACAACAAATCATGTCCTTCTAATGTCAACAATCTAGCACTTCTTAGTATTATCCATTCCTTAACCCACATCAGATTTGTACCTTGGTAGTACAATTCCCAATTAGGCAAACCAAATCCTCCTCTAATTCTAGCATCTTGCAAAAGTTTTAACTTTATTCACGCTTTCTTACCTTGCCATATATATTTCAACACAATTTTATTTAAATCTTCAAAGTAGTCTTTTCCAAGCCTAATTGGAATTGTTTGAAACAAATATAAAATTCTGGGTAATATATTCATCTTGATTGTTGAGATTCTCCCTATTAGTGAAAGTTGTAAGTTTTCCCATTTCACCAGATCTAGCACTATCTGCTGTTTAAGTTTAATATAATTATTCTCTTTTAATGTACTACTTCTTGCTGTCAAATATATCCCCAAGTACTTGATCTTGTTCGTGACTTGAATTTCCAATAGGCCTGCCAGTTCTTCCTTTTGTCTTAATAGCATATTCTTTGTCAAAATCTTTGTCATATCTTTATTTATTTTCAAACCAGCCACCTTTCCATATGTCTTTTCTATCAATTTTGATGCTGTTTCTAAAGGGTCTTCTAAAATAAAAACCAGATCATCCACAAATACTTGGAGCTTAAATTCTTCCTTTTTGATTTTCATTCCTTTTATATTCTTTTCATCTCTAATATTTCTGTTTAATAGTTATTACAAAAAAAAGATTTAAAAAATACAGTAAAGCTGGTGAGGAGGGATAGCACAACTTAGGAAAAGTAAAAAGGGCACACTGCACTTTGTTTAATTATCCAAGGCTCTTATTATCGCTCTCTTCTCCAAAACTTATCACCTTTTTTCCCCCTAAGTTTCAACACCAGACTCCAGCTGTTGATAGAAACCTAGAAGAGCACCTGCAGTAATACTCTCCCATGCTCTTCCCTCTATCTTATCAAATAGCAATGTCCTTGAAAAAAAGTCTCAGTTCTTTCTTTCTCAGCTTTGTCTGGTCACAGGGAAATAGAATATTTTCAAGCCTCTAGTTGGCAGTGTTACAAAGTTTCTTTGCTCTCACTTTCCCCCTCCTTTTCCGAGTAGGATATAATGAGAATTAATTTAAAAAATATATATATTTAAAAAAAGAATTAACTAAAGGGAGCTTCTAGCCTAAAATATTACAAAATCAAAAAGGAGAAGAAAAAAAAAGATATGAACGAAAAAAAACCAGTCCAGTTTCAAAATAAAAGATTGTATATAGAAAATCCAGCAATGAGAAAAAAACCAAAAACATTACTTTGACATTCCTGTTTAAAATCGCCGCTTAATCACTTCTGTCAAAACTTTTACATACTCTTTCTTTTCCTTAGGGTGTCCTTTCAGATCTTAGAGTAAAAAAAAGTTCTCACCAAACCGGCACACTCTCTCTTTCTGCTCTCTTCCGTTTCGGAGCTGTCTCAACTTCAGCAGCTTTAATGGCTGCCTCTTTGCCGCTGGCAAGAAGAGCTACTCCTGGATCTACCAGGGACTTTGCGGTATCCCTGGGATCAACAGGATGCGCTCTTCACTTTCACTGTCTCTTTGGGACAGTTTAGATCCGATAGGACCGTCCAGGAGCAAAGATATCGGCAGCGATCTCTGACCTCCAAGATCACATGCTGTATCGTTGCGACGCCAGCTCCGCCCTTCCCTGGAAGGAGGTATTCTAAACCATCCTTTGAAAAGAAATCTTATGTCCCTACTACTATTTAGGAGAGCTGAGGAGAAGGGAAACACCTGTACGCTCACACAGAGCCCAGAGGGGGTGAGCATGAGGTACATGCGTGCACACAAGTCTTTTCTACGTGGCCCTGGGTGGGGGGAATTCCTTGTGGGTGACTGTACCTCATTGTTCACAAAGACAAATAGACCAAATGCATGCACAGAGAGTGAAAGCAACTGTTAACTTTTCTTTTTAGTTCCTTTTTTTAGTGTGAAGGGTGAAGCCTGAGTGTTCTGACCAAGGCTTCCCGAGACCACAATTAAGCACATGCTTCGTTAAAACAACTTGTTTTATTTCAACACTGGGAATTATTTTCATTCCCAACCTGTAATGAGTCCCAAACAGTCCCTTCGAGATTAGCACCCACCTTTTTCTGTCCTTTGAATTGGTGCCAACAGCAAGAGTGCTAAGTGAACTGTTAAAAAAACAACAACCAAAGTACAAAGTCCACGCAGGGCTTCAAGGATTAATCTGAACAGAGTGAACGACTTTGCTTCCTGCAAAG